TGGATTCTGAAGAACTTTTGTTTTGACGGTATTTTTTTTCTTTATGTGAACTGTAAAAAGATGTTGGGCTCGTTCTCGAATTCCTCATTATTTCGCAATTTGTACGAATGTACATGAATACGGTCTTAATTTGAGTGAAATATGTAGGGTTGGTTGGAGAGAGGTTCGATAAGAACAATGGATTCTGAAGAACTTTTGTTTTGACGGTATTTTTTTTCTTTATGTGAACTGTAAAAAGATGTTGGGCTCGTTCTCGAATTCCTTGGATGACAGACGGGGAACACCGGGACAGGCCGTGATGGTGCCGTTGCGAACGGCCCGTGCGTTTCCGCACGATCACGGGTAGGTCGTAGTGGGTCATGTCTGCAGTACTTCGCAGGCGCCGGCGCGCCCAGGGTTCCGTTGGAGCGGTCTTTGCGGTACGCGACAATCACGGTCGTATAACTGGAATGGGAAGATAAATTGCAATCAACACAGATCGTTCGTTCCCCTCGAGCGCAGAGACCTGTGTACCCCGAGCGAGATGGGAAGAGATCAATATCGTAAGTGCCGCGTTCCGTTGCAGCGCGCGCTCGCTTTTACTACGAATCAGAGAATTCGCACCCCTCAATAACCTCCTCGAAACCAGCCCAGTGCCTCGTAAAGGCATCCAACTGAACCCGCTACGCGGAACGCGATCGAAAGCCTTCTCCAAGTCTAGGAAGGCCAAATGCACCGGTCTTTGTTTTTCGCGATGTTTCTCTAGCAAGAGGCGAGCGGCGTGGATGGCATCGATGGTGCTGCAGCCAGCCACGAAACCACACTGGTTGTGCAACCCGGGATCGCACTGTTCTAACAAATCGCCTTCAACTAGATTTTCATGGCTGATGCGAAGAGCCGGCGAATTGATCGGTAGCTTGTGCAGTCTCCAAGATTACCTTCTTCTTCCAGATGGGAATCGTCGTGCTTTGTTGCCAGCTCTCAGGCACCTTCTTCTCTGCAATGATCTGGTTGAAGAACTTCGTCAACCATTCTGCAGGATTCCAGCACTTGAACTTTCCACAATTCCGCCGCTAGGTCATCGGGACCGGTTGCTTTGCCTGGCTTCATCTTCTTCAAAGCCACTATGGACTCACTCACGGTTATCTTCTGAACGGGACCGTGTACTGGTGGAGCAAGAGGGATGGCAGGATGGGCAAATTCAACTGTTGAGATGCTTTCGAAGTAGTCGTGCCATCGCTTCAAAGTTTTCTTGCGATCCGTCAAAAGCTGGCCATCTTCGTCATTTATGCCAAAGAACTTTTCTATATCCTCGGTCTGGCGATGGCGGGAATTTGCGAGTCGGTAAACGTACCGCTCTCCGTCACGCGACTCGAGTTTTTCGTTGACATCAAGCATAAAGCCTGCTTTCAGCGAAGCAACGCCTTCTGTCCTCTTCTTCGCAATCGATAGCTCCGCCACTTATCAGCTGTCTTTTCCTTTAGAAAAGCGTGGTACCGCTTCTTCTTCTCACGCACTTTCTCTCTGACCTGGTCCGTCCACAGCCACGTTTGCTTATCAATTCTCCGACGTCCAGGCTTCGTAACGCCGAGCTCGGATCGAGCTATCCGAGTTATTTCTTCGGCTGCACCTTTCCAAGTTTCGTCGACAGTCGTAACCGCCGGTAGTCGAAGGCGAGAAACTACAGTCGCTTCTTTTTCTTTCAGTCGCCACCACTTGATTCTCGCTGGCCCACACCTTTCAGCCAATTTCTGTTTTGGCGGAGCGATCTTCAGCGTGCAGATCAGTGGTCGGTGTTGTGTAACGACCGTTTCATAAGGTACTACCTTAGCGTCTGTTACGAGCCCTTGATCGCGGTGCCTGACAAGGACGAAGTCAATTTGTGATCTGGTTTTACCGCTATAAAAGGTGATAAGATGGGATTCACGTTTCCGGAATTTCGTGTTTACAATGGCGAGGTTATGCGATTCCGCATATTCAAGAATTCGCTCGCCATCAGTATTACGTGTCCCATATCCAAAACCACCATGACAGTTATAACCGTCTTTCGTAGCGCCCAAGTGACCATTGAGGTCACCTGCAACAATTATGGCTTCTTGTGACGGTACCTCAGCTGTCTTCTCATCAAGCAGGTTCCAGAACTTGTCCTTGGCTTGCTCGGAGCATCCAGTCTGCGGAGCGTACGCAGAGAAGAAGTGGTATTTTTGTCGTTCGATGATGACAATGATCTTCATTAAGCGGTCATCGAAGCGTTCCACGCTCACTATCGAATCACGGAAGCGTTCAGAGACAATCATCCCAACGCCGTTGGTGGTTCTGGGACCGCCACAGAGAACGGCTTTGAAGCCGCGGCCAATGTCCCTCGACTTGCAGCAGGACCACCTCGTTTCCTGCGTAATGGCAGCATTTTTCCCTTCAGCAATACTTCACACTCGCCGGCTTGCGAGTGCGCGTCGGCTCCCGCGGACGCCGTAGCATTATCTCGAGATTCATTTAGCGACATGACATTTGTGATGTGACGTGGGTGTTCGTAGGCCGGCCTGTCACGGGGGCCTGTCGCCTGCATTCGAATGTCCGTGTTCAGCTCAGCTCACAAAAGTGAGCAGGTCCCAGTGGCACCCCTTGGAGGAACGGAGACACCACCTTTAATGCAACAGCTGGTACAGCCATCAAAATGTAAGGCCACATATTCCTGCAGGCGTACTTACATGTCCAACCTTTGGACGTCTTTTCGTCGGCCTAATGAATAACGTCACGAAACGAATTAGGAACTGCGCAATGGTGAACGACGTAGACTTCAATATGACGCAAAGAGACAATATATTGAAGGTGCTAATCCGCACAGTATTGGGTTGGTGCATAATATCGTAGCGCTTGCATTTTTCATTTTTGCACGCAAACGTTTTGTGAAGAAATTAAAAACATAAAACTAATCAGGGATGTCCACTTTGCCATTATTTACGACTTTTATCCTATTTTGCAGAAATTTCACTGGATTTGGTATTGAAAAAAAAAGATGTTGGGCTCGTTCTCGAATTCCTCATTATTTCGCAATTTGTACGAATGTACATGAATGCGGTCTTAATTTGAGTGAAATATGTAGGGTTGGTTGGAGAGAGGTTCGATAAGAACAATGGATTCTGAAGAACTTTTGTTTTGACTTCGTATAGCATACAACAGTCTATTTGGTACATGATTTGTTTTTGTTTTGACGGTATTTTTTTCTTTATGTGAACTGTAAAAAGATGTTGGGCTCGTTCTCGAATTCCTCATTATTTCGCAATTTGTACGAATGTACATGAATACGGTCTTAATTTGAGTGAAATATGTAGGGTTGGTTGGAGAGAGGTTCGATAAGAACAATGGATTCTGAAGAACTTTTGTTTTGACGGTATTTTTTTCTTTATGTAA